CATATTTAAAAGTTTTAAAGAAAAAAAAAGAAAAAAATATAATAAAATAAAGAAAAGAACTTAAAAAAGAAATAAAAACAAAAAACTTATGACAACAACAAATGAAAAGAGAGGATTTAATCTTTTAACAGAATTTTGTAAAGAAAAGAAGAAACAAGTTGAAATAAGAATCATGTATAATGTAGAAAATAATTGTTTCAATGTAAATGTTTTAATTGACCAAACAAGTGTTATAAATACTAATTATGAGAAAATAGAAAATAATTTTAATGATATTATTGCACTACAAACACTTGTTATAATAGATAATTTTAATGCAAGAAAATACAGTGATTTAATAATGGGATTAAATGAAGAACCATTACCTAAATTGAGAGATACAGTGATTTGTCCAAAAATGCCAGAATCACTTTCTATTTTAGTAAAACCTAAAACAAAAGAAACAGAAAGAAAACCATTTCGATTGGATGAAAGAAGAAGAGAAGAATTTAATAAAAGAGAAAATCTTCCAATGGCAAATAGAGAGGAAAAAGAAGTTGAACAAACCATAGAAAGAATATGTTCTCGAATAGGAAGATCATTAGAACTTAGATTTAATGAAATTAAAGGAGGGTATGAATGTTTTGTAAGATTAAATGAATTTTCAGCAATAGCAGTTTCAGACAGAAAGTATGATGCTAAATGCATTGCTTATATGTTACTTCTAAAAAAAATTTTTTCAAATACTCGTTCTAATGGTGAAATAATGAAAATTGTTAGATCTCAGCAATTATCTGATACTTTAATTTCTTTATTAAATGTTCGTCTCCCAATGTATGTACCACCATTACAACAACAACCTATGATTCCACAATACCCTAGTTATTATTCTACATTCAATTCATCTACTAGTTATATTCCACAACAAAATCAACAATATTCATACAATCCATATAAATGAATGAAGGAGAGTAAGAGAGAGGATATGTATCTAAAAACAAAGATAAAAAAATAATTAATTAAATATTTTGAATTACTAATTATAATGGTTTTACAATGAGATTAGGCAAATTTGATTTATTAAGAATTGTTATTGTATTTGATCGAGAATATGTTAAAGTACAAATTGATTTTGGAAGTATTAAAGGTTGTATTTCACATTGAACAATTTTCAAATCTTTTAATGTACATTGTTCATTACTTTTTATTATCAATTTACCACATCGTGCAATATCAACTTTTTGAATAAAATTAGGAAGTTCTAATTCATTAATTTTTGGACATTTCCATAAGGTTAATGCAGTCAGATGTGAAAGAGTTTTAATATCAATAGAATTACATTGACAATCATTTATAGAAAGGTTTTGTAGTAATAAAGGAAATTTTAAATTTTGAGTTAATTGACTTGTAATAGTTAAATATTGTAAACTAGTATAATGGTTATATTGTAATTCATTACAACCAGATAATGAAAGTCTTGATAAAGCATTAAGTTGAATTGGAGGAATAAAAGTTTGAATAGCTTTAATCTTTCTAAGAGTTGAAGCAAATGATAAATTTAAAAGTTTATTGCGAGAAACGAAAATAGATTTCATTGTAGATGGACAATTAAATGATTTAAGAACTGGGTTATCAGTTAATTCTAATTTTTTTAATTGAGCTAAGTTAGTATCAATAAATGTTAATATTTTACAAGAACAAATAGCTAACATAGTAATTGTTGTTGGAATAATTAATGTTTTTAATTCATTACATCGAAATAATTTAAATTTATGAAGAGAACATGATGTTATATTTGGAAATGAAAGTATTGGAGCACTTGAGAAAGTAACATCATTAATATTAGTTGGAAGCATTGGATAAGATAATGTATGTGCAACAGAAATTAATTTAGTTAAAGGCAAATTTAGTCTATGAAGATTTGGGATTGTATGAATGATAGAACGAATACAAGTTAATGAACTAACAGTAACTGGTAATGTTAATGAATCTATTGAACATGATTCAATAGTCACATTTTCCAAACAAACGTAAGTAAAATTTAATGGAGGTAAAGAACATTGATGAAGCTTTAAAGTATTAAGAGAAGTTGGAATAATTAATTTATTTATACAATTTAATCCACTAATAAGTAATGAATGAATTGAAGTACAATTAACAGAATAGATATTATGTTCAATACTTTGATTACAAAGAATATGAAGATTTAAAGGACGAATATATTTATGATGAAGATTTTCAATAAAAGTATCATCAGAACTGGTAATTGTTAAATATCCAAAATGATGTAATAATGTAACATATTCAGGTATCTCTTCTAACATATTTGAATAAATACCAATAACAACTCCAATTTGATTTAATCTATTTAATAATGAAATATGAATATTTCCTATTTCATGTAATTTACATATGATTTCTTTTTTTTGAAGTGTTTTATTTTTCTCTAATTCAATAACAACTTCTTCTAAATTACTTCCAAAACATTCTACAACTATTTTTTGTAATACTGGAAGATGTGCTAATTCTTCTCCATCAAACACAGATGATACAACACTTTCTTTTGAAATTAAAATATGTAATGTTCTCAATGCTTTACAAACACTTAAATCAACTCTAGAGTAATGATGTGTTGTAATATATAATTCTGAACACATACCCATCCATCGAATAACAGAATCATTATCTCTACTAACTAATAAAACTCCACTAATATAAACAACACTTTGAGGAATAGGTATTTCATTAAGAATAGTTAAATTACATTTAAGAGTTTGTAAATGTGGAAGAAATCTAGACAACCTTTCAAGAAAACTTCTTGTAGGTTTAGTATCAGAAATTTTATATGGAATAATATGTAACATTCCAACTGCTTCTTTACAAGTATGAGAAATACACATAAATAATTTAAGGTTTTTCGTTGTATCAAAATATAATGCAACATTCATAAGATAAATTGCTTCAAGTTTAACCATTGTATAAGAATTACAATTTAAAATCTAAATGAATTTATAGTTTTTCCTTTATTTTTTCTTTTATTTTTTATTCTTAAAAAAAAGAAAAAAAAAAGGATTTTTCAAATAAAAATTTAATTCAATCAAAGAAATCATATTTTGATACCTGACAAGAATGCTACTAATGAAAAGTCTTCATTAAATAATTCATCTACTGGTCCCCACATCTTTTCAATTGTTTCTTTTAAATTAGTTAATTCATTATAATATTTAGAAAGATGTTTCATCATTTCTCTAATATGAGTCCTTAAAGTAACTTGAGTAATTGTAATAATAAAATCATAATTACGAGAAGTATTTAATTCATCATTTAAAAATTTAAGAAAAGTATTAAGATGTTGATAGTCATTATTTGATAAATTTCTTATTTCTAAATCAATACGAGATGAATTTAAACTCATTAAATATGTCAATATTGCTTCATTTGATTCTGTTAAATGTAAAATTAATGTTGATTCCATTAATGAAGGTTGATTTGATAATAGTTTTGAATCTGCTTTTAAAGGTTTAAAGATAGCATCAGAATGTTGATTAATTGGAATAAAAAATGGTATTTCAACTGGGTTTAATCTTGTTTGTTCAATTTGCATTTCTTTTCTAAGACGGTCTAATTCTGGTAAATTAATCCATTTAGCAATAGGATTATCTGTTGCTTCTAATAAAATAGTTGTTTCACGTATTTCTTGAGTTTCAGTTTCCATTTTAACGTTAATATCATCATAACAATAATTCTTGATATTAGTAGAATCAGATAATTCACTTTTATAAAATTTAATATAATATGGTTTACTTGGAGCATCAAGAAGTATATTTGAAAAGTAATCTCTTAAATAATAAACTTGTAATTCAAATGACTTAGAAAGATAACATACAAAAAATCTACCATCTGCACTTATGTCCATAGAAATAACTGCTGAACTAAATCTTACAACATCAACTATTTTCATTGTAATAATATCATAAACTGTCAGACATCCATTTGTATATGAAACAAATACAAAATTACCATTTGTATTTAATTTAATATTTGATGCTATTCCTCTCATATCTGTTTGACGAATTATTTTTCTTGTAGTTAAATCAAGAATCATTAATTCATTAGAGGCAGTTGTAACAGCACAAAGATTATTCTTTTTATTAAATGAAAAATGAGTAATTCCACTTAAAATATTCACAATAGTATCAATCAATTCTCCTGTTTCAAAATCCCATAATAATACTTTACCATCCATAGATGAACTTATTAAATACTTATTATTGGAATCAACTGCTAATCCTGTTATTTCCATTTTATGACAATTAAATATACATTTATGTTCTCCACTTTGAACATTAAATTTATCAATTAAACCTTGAGAATTTCCTATACAAACAAAATTTCCACAATGTGAAAAACAACAATATGTTGTATGACATATTTCATTAAATTGAACTTCAAGTTCAGGTGCACTTGAGTGTTGAAATTTTTTATTAGGATTTCTTTTATCAACAATAGAACTCCTCATTTTATTATCTCCTATTCTCATTTTTACAATATCCCATGTAACAGCTAAATTTTTTCCATTATGAGTGGTGACAACAGTGTCTCTTAAAAGATAATATCTTTCATTTACATCAATACAATTCACTTGATTTAACTTTAATGTTGATTGCTCTACTCCCATTCTTTTTGCTTTTATAGAAACTTTTTGTGAAAATTCTTTTGTTAACATTGGATTAAATAAAGAACTACTTCTAATACTTCCATCAACTGATCCTGTAATTACATTATTACCTGTAATCTTTACATAAATTGGTTTCATTGGATGACCACATCGTTCTCTAATTAATGCAGGAATTAAACTACCACTATTTGGATCAATAACATATTGTCTAATAGCATTATCATCTCCTACTGAATAAAAATGTAATTCATTTGGAAAAGTAATAAGAGTATGAACACGAGCAGTATGATGGAATAAAGATCCAACAATAACACCAGTTTTAATTGAAAATATATTAATAAACCCATTAACACAACCAACAACTAAGAATAAATCATCATCTGGTAATCCACTAATAAAATTAAGTGCAGTAGGTTGATGAGAATTTATAAGTGAACATATTTTTTTATTTTGTTTTAAGTTAAAAATTTGAATTTCACCTGACTCTAAAGCAATTGCATGAATATCAACATCTGGAGACTGTGCAATTCCAACAATTTTTTCTGGAAATTTAAAAGTGAATAAAAGTTTTTCAGTATTAATATTCATTAAATATAATTGATTTTCACATGTTAATGTAATTTTATTTAAGTATTCTCTTGGATGAAATATTGTTGGTGATTCACATGGAAGTGGTATTTTCTTATAAATTTCATGTGTATCAATTGTAATTATGACTAACCTACTTTCTGTTGAAATAATTAAATGGTCTCCAAAAAGTAATGATGATGAAATTGTTCCTTCAATACTCACTTCATTAAATGTTTGAACTTCTCCTTCAAAATAAACTGAGTGTTTTGTTACTACTATTGCTTGATAATTTCTCATATAAACTGCCATAACACGTTCTTTAAATTCTTGTGAACGATATAAAAAATCTAATTTATGTGTAATATCATATGAAATAAATGAATGTTCTACTGGGACCATTAAATGTAATAATTTCCCAACACTACAACATGCTGCTGGTTGATTTCCAGCAAATAATCCTAATGTTCTAAAACATCTAAGTAAATTAGATTGTGTAACAAAATTCTCAGTCATTGAATAATAAATTTTAGAAGTATATTAACCCTAATATATAGGGTTGTATTACTTAATTCTTATTGGTTCAAAAACTACTTTTCATTTAAATTAAGAAATTGAATTATAATTCATCTTTCTCTTCTTCTTCTTCATCTCTGTCTCTTCCAAAATTATCTTCTTCTTCATTCTCTTCTTTTCCTTCATAAAAATTTTCATCAGCTCTATGATGTACTCCTCCATATCTTCTTAAAATTGGATGAACAATTTGTTCTAATTTTTTATACATCTCTTCACATTTTTCTACACTTGGATGCATTTCACGTTCTAAGAAATCGAGGACTTCATCAACTCCATCTAAAATAGTCTTTTTATCACCTTCTTGTAATTTATCAGCTAATTTATCTTTATCAATTACTTCATCTCTAACTTTATATGCATAATTTTCTAATTCATTTCTTGACTCAATCATTTTTTTTGCTTTGTTATCTTCTCCTGATCGTTCTTGAGCTTCTTTAACCATTCTTTGAATTTGTTCTTCAGTTAGTCTTCCTTTTTCTGATGTAATAGTAATTTCTTCTTTCTTTCCTGATTTTTTATCTTGTGCAGAAACTCTTAAAATTCCATTAACATCTACATCAAAAGTAACTTCAATCTTTGGAATTCCTCTTGGTGCTCGTTTAATTCCTTCTAACATAAATTTCCCTAATAAATGATTGTCTTTAGTTAAACTTCTTTCTCCTTCAAATACTTGAATTTCAACTTGTTCTTGATTATCTGCATGGGTAGTAAAAATTTGACTTTTCTTTGTTGGCACGTGTGTTCCTCTTGGAATAATTGATGCCATAACACCTCCTGCTGTCATAATACCTAATGTTAATGGGGTAGCATCTACTAATACAACATCATTTGTTCCTTCACTATTATTTAAAACTGCTCCTTGAATAGCAGCTCCATATGCAACAGCTTCATCTGGATTAACATCTTTATTTGGTTCTTTTCCATTAAAGAATTCTTGTAATAATTCTTGAACTTTTGGAATACGAGTAGATCCACCAACAAGTACAATTTCATCTACATCTTTTTTATCTAATTTTGCATCACTTAAAACCATTCTAACTGGTCCAAGTGTTTTTTTAAATAAATCAAGATTTAATTCATTAAATCGAGCTCTTGTTAAAACAAAAGAGAAGTCAAGTCCTTCCATTAACCCTTCAATTTCAATTTTTGTTTGTTCTTCGCTACTTAAAGCAATTTTAGCTTTTTCAGCTTCTTTTCTTAATTTACTCATTGCTCGTGGATTATCAGAAGGATCTTTTTTAAATTTCCTTTTACAAATTTCAACTAAGAATAATGCAATTCTTTGATCAAAATCACTTCCACCTAAATGAGTATCTCCTGATGTTGCAATAACTTCAAATACATTATTTTCAATATTTAATAATGACACATCAAATGTTCCTCCTCCAAGATCAAATACTAAAATTTGTTTCTCTCCTTTAAAACTATTTAATCCAAATGCCATTGATGCTGCTGTAGGTTCATTAACAATTCTTAAAACTTCTAGTCCAGCAATAGTACCTGCATCTTTTGTTGCTTGTCTTTGTGCATCATTAAAATAAGCTGGGACAGTAATAACAGCTTTTTTAACTTCTTTTCCAAGATAATCTGAAGCAGTTTTAGCCATTTTATGAATGATCATAGCACTTATTTCTTCTGGTGAATAAATTTTTTCTTCACCTTTTAAAGTAACTTTAATGAATGGTTTATTGTCTTGATTAATAATATTAAATGGAAAGATATGTAAATCTCGTTGAACTTCTTTGTCATCATATGTCCTTCCAATAAGTCTCTTAATCTCAAATATAGTGTTCTTTGGGTTTTCTGTTATTTGATTTCTTGCTGCTTCTCCAACAAGAATTTCATGATCAGTAAATGCTACAACTGATGGTGTAATTCTATTACCTTGATCATTGGCAATAATTTCTACTCCACTGTCTCTATAAATACCAACAGCAGAAAAAGTTGTACCAAGGTCAATACCAATAATAACATCGCTATTTTGTGCAAGAGAACAAATACAAAGGGTTAATAACAATATTAACATTATTTATTATTATTTAGTTTTTTTAAATTTTATGAAGAATGAATTATTGTATTTATAACATAATATTAACAAAAGTCAAAAGAAGAACTAATCTTAATATATTTATTCTTATATTTATGCGTTCTCTTTTCTTTTTATTAATTGCTTTGGTCTTAACTGTTTTTGCTGAAGATAGTTTTGAAACAGAAACTAACTTTGATTTTGATGATGATTATGAAGATGATGAATTTGATCTTGAAGACGATGATATGGAAGAAGATGATGAAGATGAATTAGAAGATGATGAAGATGAAGACTACGAATTTGATGAAGAGGATTTTGAAATTAATGAAGATGGTTATGAAGAAGATGACGAAGATGATGATGAGGAAGAAGAAGATGATGATGATGAGGAAGAAGATGAAGATATTAAAATTGTTTCTGCTGGTTATCTTTAACTAAATTATTCAAAATATTGATTTAAAGTTAATTTTCATAAACAAAAATAAATAAAAATTAATTGTCATCATAAAGTAAAAAGAACTTAAAATAAATAATATATTATGTTCAACTTTATTATATTCCTTTTAACAATTACACTTATTTCTGGAAATCAAGACTTTTATTCATTCCTTGATTCAGTTGACAATGAAATTGAAGAAATTGAAAATGGCAATGATGCTTTTAGTGATATTAATAATGAAGAATATGAATTAGAAGAAGATGATGATCAAATTCCAATGCAATTTCATCCAGTAAAGATATAAATACACATTTTTGTTATAAGAATTTAAATAATTTATTTTAAATAGTAAAATAATTAACAATAAAACAATAATTAAAATAAAAAAAAAAAAGAAAAAAAAACATAAAATCAAACCAATTTAATGGACATTATTTCATTTCCTGCATATGTTGATATGTCATTTATTATTACTTGTTGTTTAATATGTATTTCATTGTATTATTTAAAGAAACCTAAATTATATTTTAGAGGATGTGTATTAGCAATAACAGGAGTGTTATTATCATTTATTGTAGTATCAATTTGGCAAATAATAACAATTTCAGATATTAAATTAATTGCTATCTTTATTTCACCAATAGTTTTAGGAATTGTTATTGGATTAGTAATATTATATAAATTTAAAGTATTTCAATTTCCATTATTTATTTGTACATTATCATTATTTGGTTCAATATCATCATTTGTATTAATTACAGGTGATTTTTTAACTCCAATTTACTTTAATCCATCTCAAAGACCAAAAGATCAGTTATTTTATTTATTAATGGTAGAAGTTTGTATAGGAATGTGGTCAAGTGTGTCTGGAATAATAGGTTATTCAGTAGTCATTTTTAAACTTCTTAAATTACTTCCTCATTATAAATTAAAAATACCTTCAAGAAGTTTCTTTGTTGTTTTTACATTTATTTTATCTATTATTTTATCTTCATTTATTATTTTAGTGAATGATAATACTGCTAAACTTGCATTATATTGGACAACTGCATTATTAATAGCATTATGTTCATTTATTACAATGATGGTTGATCAATCAGATCTTTCTATAATGATGGGTATTTTACAGTCATTGAGTGGATGGACTGTTGTTGCAGTAGGATTAATAAGAAATAACAACACAGTAGTATTTTGTGGAAGTATTGTAGGAATGTATTTTATAGTTACTTTACTTGATTCATGTCAAGCAAAGAAAATATCATTACTTTCAATGATTTTTGCAAATAAACTTACCTCAAATGATGTTGATTTTTTAAAACGTAAAATAGATATTCCACAAATTGACTTAAAAGAAGTAAGTGAAATGTGTTTAGACGCACAAAATATAGTTATAATACCAAGCCATTCATTAATTCAATCACAATCTCAAATCTTATTAAATGATTTAGTTGAACTATTAAAACAAAAAAATAAAAATGTAAAAATTGCTATTCATCCAACAATTGAATTAATGAGAGGATTTATAGAAATTCTTATGGTTGTTGGGCATATTGACTCAACTACTTTTTGTTCATTTGAAATAAATAATAATTTTTCTGATGTTGATCTTGTCTTAATTTGTGGTGATTGTAGAATGACACCTTATTCAAAAGCTAACTGGAAAAAATTTGAAACAACAAAGGCATTAAATTCTATTGTTTTATCTGAAATTCAATTAGTAGAACAAAATGAACAAAATGTTTATTGGTGCCATTCACCATTATATACAGGTTTTGAAACATTAATTAACAATTTGCGACATGACAACTATTAATACTTTTATCAATCAATTACTATAAGTTATTAATTTTTTTTATTATTAATTTTTTATTTTATAAATATAATAATATGTTTTGTATAACATAAATTTTTATATTTGGGGTTCATTGTTTCTTTGTATATTTCATGGTTATTACTCTTTTTTATACCTTTGATGTTTATGTTGAGGTTATTCATTTTCATAAGATTACAATAAACTATTTTTAATATTAAGTGTGTTGAGAGAATTAATGTTAATGTTATTATTCAAACTTTTTATTAATAAAACATTTTAAATATATAATTTTCATTTTTTGTAATGTGATGATATTTTTTTTAATGATAAATGACTGTTATCTGAATTTAGTATTCATGTTAACGTTACAATAGTCAAAAAAAAATTAATTTTTTTTATTTTAAATAAGTAGTTTAACGAATCAAGTAAAAAATGTCAAGAATAAAAATAATTATATGATAAGAGTAGATATGCTATTTTAGTCTGACGCAATTCATTTTCTTCTTTTCAGTTATAATAAAAAGTTATTTTAATATTAAAAGTATTTAATAAAAGAAAAAATTTTATTTTCAGTTAAGTAACTAATACGTATTTTCTTTTACCAAAGAAATATTCTTGTTCAATACTTTTTTTCATTTAGTTTATTAGTGGGTAATTACTAATAAGTGATTTATTATTTAGAGTCTCTCACTCTAAATGAACTACCAAAAATGGTAACTAAAACAATTTAAACCAAAAATTTTAATTAAAATATTCGAATACTTCTCTATTTTTAATTTAAAATCTTGTTCAATAAAGTCATGACAGTTTTTGAGTGACTAGAGTCATCTAAAATAATTTTTTTTGGAAATAACTATTTCATTTTCGATAAGTTATATTTATTTTCGAAATACAAAATATGATGATTTATTACTAAATATGAAACGCTTTCATTTTTTTAAAAAGTGTAAAAAAGATGCAGTATTTAATATGAAAAATGTAAAAAAGGCACATAATAGTTTTCTATTTATAGATTATCAAAAGAAAAAATAGAAACGATAAAATAATAGTAAATAATAATATTAAGAAATAGAATATACAATTGATCAATTGACTTCTTCTAAGAAGAAACGAGCGAAAGGAGATGAAGGATGTTCAACAGGTGTTGATGCAAAAGAATGAACATCGACATTTTTTGTTTGAACGAAATGTGATTGATGGAGTAATTGATTAACTGAATGACGTTTAAATGCAGTAGGAGCAAGAAAAGGAATAGGTGATTTTTTTCTAAGTAAAGAATCGTTAGAAGGAGAAGTATCAAGTCTAACAATTTGTGAACAAATTGAAGGAGAAGGTGTTGGAGAAGATATTGGTACAGAAAAAGGAAAAGGTAAAACAGAAGAGAAACAAGTACTTGGAGGTGATAATAAATCAGTAAGATCTGTTTGGTTTGGTCCTTTTAATTCTAATGCTTTAGGAAGACTAGATACTCTTTTTTTATTAGGAATTAATGAATCAAAAATAGAAGGATAGAAAGTATTAATTGGATTTAAAGAATATTGACTAACAATATCATAAATAATTGAAGTAGAATGATCTAATTTTCCTTTACTAATAATAAGTTTTCTTGTTGTAACTACTTCTTTTCTTATTGGTTCTGTTATATCAATTAATAACTTAGAAAAACTTTCCAAGAAATCAGCTAATGTTGCTGATCTATCAATTAAAGGAAAAACGAATTCTGACATACAAGAAATATTATCATAAAATCCATCTGTTACTGTGAGAATTTTATCACCTATTTCACTTTTTATTAATAAAAGAACTGACCCTTTTAAATCTGGAAAGTACTCGTTTGCTGCTCCAAGACTACCTGAACAATTTTGAATTTCTTTAATTTTTGTTCGATTAATTCCACATAATGAAATAGCTTGTTTTGATTTCATTTTAATATAAAATGCACGACAATCACCAACAGAAAGAAGTAATGTAAAAGGTTTAATTCCTTTTTTACTATTTTCTACATAAATTGTACATGTAACTAATAATGTAGTAATACCAATATGCATTGGGGATTGTTTTTCTTTAATAATCTATTTTTGATTAACTCATTTATATGTAAAAATAGATAATGACAAACATTATAATGTGCATGCGCAAATGATTCAACTAATATCCGTGCAATATCAGTAGTTGTTTTTGCCATTTTAATTGAAAGTGATAAATAATCTAAACATCCTGAAACAGCACTAATAGCTGCTTTTGAAGACTTTTCTCCCCATCCACAACCATCTGCAATACATGAAATAAATGCATTTTTATATCTTAATACTCCTGCTTTATCACAAACTGGATCACCATCTTTTTTATTATTAACAACTGCATATGTAGAAAATGTTGTCATTGCAAATTCATCACTTGAACGAATAGTATAACTAAACGTTGGTTGAAAACTTTTAGTAAAATCTCCTTGAATTAATTGTATTTTCTTTTCTTTAATACCCTCGATCATTTTTTTAAAATATTTCGAGAAATACTTTTGAATATGTTCAATTGATGGAGCATTCATTTAATGTTTTTAAGATTAAAGATTTTTCTAAAGAAGATAAAAAAATCTCTGTTTTATTATTTGAGACAAATCGTTGTTGTTCTTACAAAAAGTTAAAAACTTCAATTTTTATCATCTCATTTATTATTTATAAATTATATTCCTTTTATTCTTTTTTTATTTTGATTTAAATTTTCTCATCTACCCCTTCTCTATTTTTTTTTTAGGTTTTTGCGATAATCATGACTAAAAATTCATCTCTTTTTTTTGTTTTCATTCAATCGAATATTTTTTTTTAGATAATTTTTTGTTATTATTCATTATTTTTATTTTTACTATTAATTTTATAATTATAGTAAATAACAATAAATATTATAATAATTGAAGATATTAAAAATGTATTAAAAAAAAATAAATAGAAATAAAAAAAATAAAAAAAATAAATAGAAATAAAAAAAA